CAAGTTGGAGACCGTGCTTCTTGTTTATTAATTCTCGGAATTCATCTATCTTTGTTTTCTTCCTCGGGTCCGGCTTCCATAAACACACATCGGCGTTCCCTTGCATGATTTTTTTTATCAACTACGAACGAATCGCCGATGCACTACCTGTTCCTTACGTTGAGGTGGTGTGACTGCCAGCTGATCGCGGCGACGACCAACCACGTGCTGGCGTTGCGAGGTGCGGTCGTGACGTCATGGTGTGCACACTGAGAGAGCTTCGTGGCGTCACGACAGACACACGCCGAGGGTACGATCCTGACGTCATAGTTGACACACGCCGAGAAAAACCTCGCCCATTCATCAATTTCCTGAAACGTAAACAGTAGTTGTAAAGTTCGACTTGATTAGATATCAAAACTTACGCAAGACGATAAAAGAGAGAATGTTGCTGCTGATAATCAATATGATTGACTTAACAGAAGAAACAGGAAAGGCAATTTCGTGCTACCATATTACTACATTTTTTGTCCGATATAACAAGGTCTCTGGATAATGCGGAAGAATCTAACATTAAATCCTTAAATGGCATAGAGTCAGCGAACTGGCCCTTTTTTGGTGGTTCATATGGAGCTGATCTAAAATTCATAGTCTAAAAACATCACATAAAATTTCTCGTTTTCTGTTATGCGGATACACGTATCCCTTTAAATTGACCTTTTTTTCGAAATGTACATGGTATGCCAAGAAGCCCCTCACACACACACACACATACACACACACACACACGCGCGCGCACACACACACACACACACACACACACACACACACACACACACACACACACACACACACACACACACACACACACACACACACACACACGAACACACACACAAACACACACACAAACACACACACAAACACACACATGTAGGTATGTATGTCTATACATACACACACATATATGTATGCACACTATAATATATATGAGTGTATGGTCGACTCTCCTATATGGTCCTGGACACTGACGGCTAAAATTCGGCGTAATATATAGGCCGCAGGGATGTGGCTCTACCACAGGACGTTGCACACCCGCACACAGTGTCCAAAGAGAACTTCAGAAAAGTCGAACTGATCCGAGTGTGTACATATACATACAAAGAAACTCACGCACATGTGTGTGTGTGTGTATATATATATATATATATATATATATATATATATATATATATATATATATATATATATGTATATATGTAAATATATATATATATATATATATATATATATATATATATATATATATATATATATATATATGAATATATATAGAAAAACATATAATGTCGTGTAAATACAGAATGTGTGTGTAAATACAGATACATATACTCTTCACCAACGCCCTTCCTTCTCGGCAGGACCTTTTTAGCATCTACCTGCCCCATGATGCTGCATCTCTGTCCTTCTTTCCACACTGGCATAACCCTCAATTTAGTCGGCATTCCATATCTATTCTTCCTCGCGGTCCTTTTCCATCCACTCTTCCTGCAAATCACTTCTCGGTAGTAAACCCTTTCCTGTTATTCAGCGGCTAAAAACATTCATTTCTGTTTCCTATTATTCTGTCTAACAAATCTATCTTTTCTCCCACCACTGTCGTCTGTTTTCCTTTCTGTCAAGTTTATCATTCTTCCATCATTTATCAGACTCACTTTTCAAAAAGCCTCTAGCCTCACACACACACGATATATATATATATATATATATATATATATATATATATATATATATATATATATATATATATATATATATACACACACACACACACACACACACACACACACACACACACACACACACACACACACACACATATATATATATATATATATATATATATATATATATTTAAATATATATAGTTAGATAGCTAGATAGATAGATATATAAATGCATTTATAAACACATACATAAATGGACAGATAAATAAATGAATGAATGAATAGCTAAATAAAATACTAACCACCTGCTACCTCCGCCCCCCTCTTTGCGAGTGATTAAATGTTTTGTGAGCATAAACTTTCATCTCTCCAGAAAGCATTGATATGTACCCATTCATGGCCTATAATTCCACGACTGCAGTGAAATAGCGTGGACATATCGAAGTTTATATTCCAGATGAAAGTTTAAACTCAGAGATCGATAAACAAACGCATATGTTTATATGGATGTTACCAAACCCTTTGTCTTTTTCATTTCATTCCCATTGCCTGTGATAACCCATTTTACTGTCCATTATCTTCAGTTTTTTTATTGATTTTTTTTGTCTGTTTCTGCTCCCATGCCGCGCGTGCTAATATTTTTTAACTCGTGAGCAATCCCGTATTTTCCTTCCTTTGCGGCATGTTTCGGGCCTGGAGATGAATTGCAACCCTCTAACAGATATACTGAAAGGGACAGGAGAGTCAGTATCTTTGAGTTTCGTGTTATGCCGAGGGATTTCAGCTTAGAAGAAAAAATAAAACTTACATGTTATTTTTTGGGATACTAGCAAGTTGTAATTGTATAGTTGCTGAGTCCATGAAAGTGTTTGGCAAGTCGTGAATTGATTAGGGAAAAACATGATGATATATAACATAAAACATCAGTAAATTATTTGATCTGTTATTGTCTGACAGTTATACTTTATTTATGGGGCATATAGGACGTACGACCAATTTAAAAGTACCACTTCAAGGGGAAGGCACCCCACTCTCGTATATATAATCTGTAGTGATTTTTTTTTTATTTAAAGGGAAAACTGCGTCTTATATGCCGTATATAGCTTATAATTCTTAAGGGTTATCCATCTTATTCATAATTTTCATGAGCGTACAACCCGTCCGGTGGGGGGGGGGGGGGATTAATCTCTGTATGGGTTTTAGAACATCGAAAAAATAACGATCCAGATCAAATAGAAAATTGCAAATTATTTATTGCCGAAATCAAGACGAGAAGATCTGTGGCAGATGAGCGTTTTGATTTCCAATACAAAAGTACATTTAACTTTAGAACTGATTTTATTCCCACGAAGAAATCCCAAGCACAAAGGCAGGAGGCCATTTTTATATCTTTGATTTGTACACTCTGGAGGGGGTCCTGGGAAAAGAGTACTTTTTGTTCACCAGTGAAAATAATAAATGGAAATGGATGGCCCCGCAGATTCTCTGTTTATACGTCGGTCAATTTCTGCATAAATACACACACACACATGCACACACACATACACAAACACACACACACACATACACACACACACAGAAACACACACACATACACACAGATACACACACACACTTAAACACAACCACACACACATACACACACGCGCGCGCGCGCAAATGCTGTGTTCTAGAATCTCGATTTCGTTTCATATAACAACAAAACCCAGACGCAAATTAAGAATCAATTTGGTCAAAGGTGTTCATCGTTCCTGGACACAAGACGGACAGGGCTGAAGTCAGGACACAGGCGGAGTGGCAAGGTCAAGCACTCGAGAAAGCGGAGCGACTTGGTGGGACTGAACTCAGGACTACGCGTGGTCTTACTCTAGAGGGGATCCCTGGTTATCATTAGTTTTGTTGTCATTATTATTATTGATAATATTATCCTTCTCATCCTCTTCATCATCACCATATCATCATCCTCATGATCATCATGGAAGTCGTTATTTTGTGTTTCCGTAACGTCGTGTAGAAAAAAAAATGATTTTTTTTTGCCCAGGGCGCGGTTCTTTGGGCTCTCTACAAAGTTTCTCTTGCAAAAATTAGAACACATATTTGATACAGAGAAACAATAAACCAAGAGCTTGCTAGATTATATAAATCAGTATGGGTGACTTAAACGAAATCAGAATTTTGGACTATTTCTGCAGACATCTTTAAAAATCGGGATACGTACTCATCTAAAATTGTCATTGAACTATCTTATATACAACACTGAAGGTGTAGGTTGAGAAATATCGCTAATATCTGTTAAAAACAAAAAACAAAGAGAAAATTGTTACGTAAGTTGATTTATTATAATTATTATTTCTTTAAATCGCCTCAGGTATAGATATATAATCATACTTTAGATAGGGATTACTGATATAGTAATGTCTTTAAGATTTTTTATTAAAAGATAGTGTGTGTTCCCAATATGGTGGCGACTGGATGAGGAAAAGATAATCACATGGGTTGTCACTAACAACACTGCATTCTCTACGATAACTGTAACGCAACTACCGTCAAAATAATAATTTTTGGCGGCACTCTCATAATGATAATGATTATTTTCTTTTTGTTCTTAACAGCGAACTCTCCTCCAACCAGCTGTGTCGCGAAAACAACAGAGATAAGGTTAAATTCCAAGGCACAAGAGACCCCGCTGACTGGACGCTACTATTGTCTGCCATGTCGAGCTTTCCCTTGACACTTGACCTTGGCTCGGCTGCTATGACCTGGTGTTGGTCCTCTGTATGTATGTATGAATATATTTATGTATGTATATATATGAATGTATATGTGTATATATATGAATGCATATATGTATATATATGTGTATGCATACACACATACACATACACATTCATATGTTTGTATGCATCCATATACGCAAGTCGACTAGCGCATAAGTCGACCTCTAAAATTCTAATTCATAATATAAATCGACTCCAGTCATCTGTATGGAAAGACGAAAAAACAACAACAAAAAAACAAAGGGCGGTATCTCATAAACAAATCTACAGCACTTTTCTTCTGTTTATAATTTAGTCTCAGACTCCTAAAGCACGGAGTGAACCTGCCTAACCTAACCTTTATCGAACCTGACCTCCCTTAGGAGTCATGTTATTCGTTAAATAGCCTTCCCAAACATGCGTTTCAGGAAATGATTGTGGTGGGCTGCGAGAGTTATGGAACGTGGTTTAAACCGAGTGTTAGGCAGACGCTGTTACTTTTTACCTCTCAGTAGTAAAGGTTAACATTTTCGGCTTACAAGTTGATCCCTTGCTTTGCAGAGCATTGGCTTATACGGTGTATGTGTATGTAAGTATGTATCACATATACGTGTGTGTGTGTTTGTATTTATCGATGTATGTATGTATGAATTGATCCGCGTACGCATATATGTAAGTATGCATGTACGTATGTATGTACCAATTGCAAGCCAAAAGCCCACCCTTAGC